ATGTCCTATATGCCTTTTATCTATTCCTTTATTGAAGAAGTTTATTCAGTGGAGGTTTTTGTTACAAAACCAACTTTTGTTCTTTCTGTATAATTAAGGAATGTCTCCCTGGAATGTGCCATTTCTTCTCTCTCGAAATCCCATAGAATAATTATAATAGGTTTAAATGGATGAAAATCCAAATAACACTTAATATTTCTTATTTGTTGTTGGAGTTTCTGAGTTCCATTGGCTGAGATTCAGCAGGTAAAGGCTAATGTATAGTGCTAGATATCGGGTAGATTCATTTCCTGATTTTGCTTTTACTAAAGACGTTGTAGCAATGGGTTAATGGGCAAAGGTATAAGCTATCTTGAAATGTAACTAGCTCATTAGGGACACATTACTATAACTCCTTGGATTGCTAGGGATTCCATGTGAAAGTAATGGTCTGATTGGACTTTGGTCTCTTAATTGCATAGGCCTAACTCCACTTAGCTGCTGCTTCTCTCAAAAATATCTAATATGTCCATAAAATGTTTTCAAATTGCAGAGATAAGGAGGACCAATTAAAAACAAAATGTAATAGCATGATCTTTCTTTGCTTCATGAGATTCCCTACATGATTCTCTGGAAGGTCTTAAATTGAATTACATTTGGAATTAAGATGGAAAAGAGAAGCATCAGCTTACTGACATGTTAGCTTTTTTTCAGCTGGAATACAGAGAAGGCTAAGAGTGAACGTAACAGTGGTTGTACAATCCTGTCTCGGTAGAAATTAGGTATCTTGTGTTTTAATCTGGCCTGGAAAATCTAGAATTTATTAAGGGCAAGTCTTTTCTTAATTCAGTCAGGATAGTATTGTACAATGAATCTTTTCTTAATTCAGTCAGGATAGTATTGTACAAGTGAAAAGGTCTGTATGACCTTCCATTAAATAGGGAAATAGATTCACCTTGAGCGTTCCCCGTAGCCCAGAGAAGTAAATTCTTATTTTCCTACCTATTGGTTGCCTCTTTTTTGGAGAATGTAACTGCTCTTATTTGTTTATCACATTTATGCCTGCTGCAGTCAAAGAGGGTTCTCAGTGGATTATGGTAATCAAGAGCAACCAGACAAGGCACTCAGAATTAAACCATGCACCTTTAAAGTACAATAGAGGCTAAATCCATAAACATAAAAGGCACATACGGGTGTCTTGTCATTCACAGAGATCTCTCAGAATAACTCTGTTTTCAAACATTTCTAGAAGGGTAAAGCTACAGAGAGCAACCTCGATTTTAAAAGAGCAGTCTTGCTGGTGTGCTGATATTTTGAAACTCCTGGCTTGAGCAGAGGTGTTTGTCCAATGAACATTTATTAAATAAATTAAAATTAAATAAATAAATTAAACATTTATTAAATAAATGAGCAGGAGGTGGACTAAAAGACCTCTAAAATCAGGCCTATGATTCCATAAGCTATCCCTGTTTTTCTTGCTGTCTTTGGGACTGAAGCCCCTTTATACCAATAGAATTTTCCCCCCTTCACTTGGATATGCGTTCATCTTTCATCTCTTCCTTCTTCAAATTCTTAGTAGTTTATATTGCAATCTTGCCTTATTTTACTTGTTCTATAGTATTTTTCTCTTCTGGAAAATCTTTTGCTTCCATTAATCTCATAAGTTATAACTACAGACTGCTGTCCAGTCATTTTGTTATCTGTATGAGGCTGGTTGAAGAAATCAGGAATGGTATGAAAAAATCAGGAATTTCAGTGAAGAGAACAACTGGCAAGGTCAGGCTTCTTAGTCATGAGGTTACTAGAACAGTACTTTTGAGAGATCCAAGTCAGCCTTGATGGCTCAATTTTTCCTTGGTTAGAATAGTTGAAGGATGTTGTTGCTAAACTCTCCAAAGCTTATTTTGCTTTTCCCCCTGTTGGTTTTCATTCCATTTTATGAAAGTACCTGTTTTAGATTTTTTTTTTTTTTGTAGAGAAATTATCATCATTGATGTTCTGTTTAATGAGTTACACGTGTTGTGTGAATGTAGTATTTTGGTGTATGATAATCCCTTCAGTTGACTATAGCCTTCCAACTCTGTTTAAAAGAGTTAGGAGATCAGCTCTTAATTAGCAGTAGTCCATCTGCAGATTGATAGACCAATGGCATAAAGTAATGTGCAGAATTGTCCCTTTTCTTCAAAGGGTTCTGGTTAGGGGTTAATCATCTGAAAATAATGGCCATGCTACATCTTCTTGATTGAAGGATGGGAGTGATTGATCTTCCCCCAAAGATTTACCAAGCAAATCTTTTGCCATAAATTGCAAAGTCAAAGAACTAAAAATCATGACCATTCTCCTACATTATTCTAATGCATACTAATTTTTGTGCTTCCCTCATTGGACTCATTAACCCTTGTTCGGCAGTTAGGAGTAAACAAGGCAGAGTAGTTCTTTCTATTTTTCATGAAGTACCTTATGCCGTCAGCATAAGAAGTTGGATTTTTAAAATACATCTAGTTCCTTCTGCTTTTGGGGTGGGAAAATAACACAATGACAGAACAATCACAGTCGCATATATTCTAGGTCTGCTATATGTCATTTCAGTTAAAAAAAGAGATGGGATAAGAGAAACTTGGAGAAACCTTGGATGATCCCTTATCTAATAGAGAAGACTAATTTAGTTCAAGATAAGTTTATGTGTTTGCATGTTAACATCCTAAAGCAGTGGGTTATGATTTGAATCTTAAGTCTTGGGGATCCGTGGCCATGGTCCGTGGCCACAAAAGGTATTTAAAGGGAGTCTGTAGTGAAGAAAAGTTTGAGAACCATTGATCTAGAGCAGTGTTTCCCAAACTTGACAATTTTAATTCTGGGAGTTGAAGTCCTCATGCCTTAAAATTGTCAAGTTTGGGAAACACTGATCTAGAGCAGTGATGGCGAACCTTTTAGAGACCGAGTGCCCAAACTGCAACCCAAAACCCACTTATGCATCGTCGGGTGCTGGGTGGGTGTGGCCCATTGGATGGGTGTGGCCCATTGGGTGGGCATGGCTGCGGTGGTAACGGCAGACTGGGTGGGACTAAAAAGTTCAATCAATCAATTCCAACTTTGCAAGATCTTTTTTTTCCCCACGAGAAGTTGAAATTGACTGATTGATTGAATCTTTTTTTTTTTTTTTTGCACACAGCAGCGGAGGCCTAAAGCGAAAAGGTTTTATAAAACACAGCTGAAGGCCTAGGTCTGGGGTGACGGCATACGTGCCCACAGAGAGGGCTCTGAGTGCCGCCTCTGGCACCTATGCCATAGGTTCGCCACCACTGATCTAGAGCAATACTTCTCAAACATTTTGATCTCAATATGTATCTATTAATACATCAAATTGTACCTATCAATAATTAAATCTGAGAAAAAAATTTTAAAAAAATTATTTGATTTCATGGATGCCCTGACATGGTCTTGGATTCTCAAGGGTCCCCAGAGCATATTTTAAGACAGGGGTCTTCAAACTTGGCCCTTTTATGACTTGTGGATTTCAACTCCCCGAATTCCTTAGCCAGGCATGCTGGCTGAGGAATCCTGGGAGTTGAAGTCTACAAGTCATAAAAGGACCAAGTTTGAAGACCTCTGTTTGAGAACTGCTGAATTTCAGAATAATATCTATATTATATTACCTAAGCTCTCATTGTCTGCTACAGTGTTGGTGTGTCTTAAATTTTTCATTACTAACTGGAAACATTTGAACCAAGGTAAAAAAAAAATGGAAAAACTGCAGTAGCACAGGATGGAAGGAAATATTGTAATGCTGCCAATAGTTTTTATATACTTGGCGGCTGACTTTTCTTCTTTTTTAAATGAATATTGAATGACAGTTTCTGTGGTTTAAGTGATTTTAATTATAGGAAAGCAGGGAATAAGCTATTTAAAAACAGAAATGCTGGATGACCCTTAAAAACCTTCGTGTCTTAATACTAAGCTTTTTGTCACTTGATGATAACTTCAGTAAACACATATTTTTCTTTTTAAATATTTAAAATAGCATCCCAAACAATTCCCAGGTATAAGTGTTCCAGCAAGAACAGAGAACACTTAAATATCAGCTTTCCTTAAATAGCTTCATGTTCATCCCCAGTCACCAGAATAGTAACAGATTTAAAGGCATAGTCCTATTTTTCCCTACCAACTGTTGAGTTGTAAATTAGTGTTTCATGCTCTTTATAGTGGTAAAAATAGTTTTTAACAATTGGTGTTACTTTATAAAATCTGTACATTTTTCCCTACATTCTTTCAAATTTAGTAAATATCGTATCTATAGTGAAAGAGAGAGAAAGATGCTCTTGACTATTCATACATCAGTTCATTTATTTCAAACATTTATGCGCTAGCTATCTTAAACAGTTAATTCTAGACTGCAAAGAACCCATTTGCAAACAGCAACATAAAACAATCCACTAAACAATGTTAAAATAATCCAGAAAGAGGAGGGAAATGCTAAGGCATCATATAACAAGCTTGCAAACCAGACACACTTATATTGGGCTTAATATAATGCCTACTGAGAAAGTTCTTAACAGCCTTCCATCTAATATTTTTAGAAAGTGGTATTTCTCATTTGAAACAATCATTGACTAAATTGTCATACATATCATGCACAATTGGAGTTCTCAGGGCTGCAGCCAAAGACCCTCAGAAAGTTGGCTACTGAGTTGTAATTTTTAATGGTACAAAAAAGGAAAAATATTAAATACATGGGGAGCATTGATATAGACTATATTTGTATTCAATGCACTTTGGTTCACTTTTAAATTATATCAGATTTAATTTACACACACATACTGTACATACGCTATTCTTAAATATAAGGAGGCTTAAATAGCTAATAAAGTTACTAATGAGAATATAGTTCCAGCTGTGCATATTTTTTTTCTTGATTTTTTCTTATAAATAGTAATGCAAAGCTTATCAACAGTGGCAAAACATTGGAAGTAGAAAATAAAGTGCAGCCACTTAACCTACCCTTTCCATATAATTTCATGTAGGAGAAGGAGAGGCAGAACCTGGCGGTGGAGTCAAGAGAGGAATCAGTCTGGAGCTGTTATGTTTCCACAAGCGAAGTAAATCCAACCATTCTTGAATTCCATTAACTCTTATCTAGCACCAACTAAGTTGACTAGATTTTTTTGTATAGGCATGAGCAATAAATTGGCTTAACTGAAACTTAACATGTTATCCTGGTTCATCATACCTGACATTTCATGAACAAGGCATGGTGATTGTACAATGAAAAAAAATATTTCAGTGAATTTGGATAGACAGGATCATTACTTTGTTCAAACACCATATAATAACTTCGGTAATAAATTAATAGTGACTTCATTGATTTTTACCATATAATAGTCTTGCATTATAATTTTCTGAGTGGATTTGGTATAGTATAATTCCTCCTTTTCTAAAAGTTCTTAATGTTAACTAGCATTGTTAGTTTTGTGGCTAGAATATATAAAAATATCTAAGAAATACAGAACAAAGTTTTTAATTTTTAAACATTCATCCTTAAAGATATTAATGAACAAGAAGATTTGTTTTCAGCATTTTTTTAAAAAAAAACTGGTTAGACTCTTAATGTTATTTTGGTTTCTGACTATAACTTTTCATGTTGGATGTACTAAAGTCAGAAACTTGAATGCTTTTTAATTTAAATAGAAAAGAGGAGTATGATTAGCTTGGCTTTTATGTCTCTACTAGGAAAAGCTTTTGCTTTCTAAGCTTAGAAGAAGCATAAGAAGTTTACACAAAGGATTCAAGACAGAACTGACCATTGGATATTTGAGAAACATGACTGGTGGTGACATCAGTTTTTTCTTTTCCTCACTACCTTCACTGTTATTTTCTTAAGTTGCATTTCCTTTGGGAATGTCATCTATTCATAGAAAAAGTCTGGCATGGAAGCAGGAAGATAGTTGGATCATCCTACTAACTTATTTCTTGCTTGTAGGATTTTAACGCCTTGATTTTGTGTATCTGTAGCTCATAATCCAGATAGTTCTCTGCTTATTCTTAGTGTAAAAATACATTACCTTAGACCAGAGGTCCCTAACCTTTTGGGCACCAGGGACCGGTTCCGTGGAGAGAGGTTTTTCCGTGGACCGGAGGGTGCGTGGTTTTGTGTGCTGCCTGTATCCCGTGGATGGGGCTTTGCTTGTTTGTGCAGGCTGGTTGCTGACATGTTGCGGCCTGGTACTGGTCCACGGACTGGGCAGTTGGGGACCCCTGTCTTAAGATGACCAACTTTTTTACAATGAAAAGGAGGACACAAATAAATTGAAGAAAAAAATATCGTAAAAGCTGGCCTGGCCCATGGAAGGTCAACCACCCGCCATGCCCCCACCCAAAGCCGCCCTGCCAGCACCACTACCCTGCCGTGTAGAGGGGTCCCCGTGGCTCCCAAAGCACCAGCCGTGCCAGCTCTGGGGGGCAGCCCACCGTCGACACACCCCACCTGCAGCCGCCCTGCCAGCACCACTGCCCACCCTGCGCAGCCCTGTGTAGAGAGGTCCCCACAAACGGGGGGCAGCCAGCTGCTGCCGCCCTTCACACCCCCGCCTGCAGCACCCCTGCTGCCCCTGCCTCTTGTGTCCACAACCATTATTGCCTTAGCAGAGTTGAAGATCAACAGAAACTTACCGCTCCAGTCTCCTCCAGGTATCTTCAGAACTAACTAGAAGATGGTGTAGTTGGGTAGCAGGGAGGGGAGCAAAGTTCCTGCCAATTCGCCTTCGCTGCAGACAACTTGCATGTGCAAAGTTTGCCGGCCGGGTGTTTTGGCGCACTCAGCAGCAATTCCTATTGGCTTTCGAAAGCCAATAGGGGGAGTAGCACAGCTCATGCAAAAGTTGAAAAAAACCCATCAAAAAAAGGTGCCGGAACGCCGTTCTCAGCGTTCTATGAGAAAAAAAGCCCTGCAGATTAGTCTTCAAATATCAAAAAGGAGGACATGTAGGAGGACACTTTTTGAGGGAGGACAGAACTTACAAAAGGAGGACTGTCCTCCCTAAAGGAGGATGGTTGGTCACCTTACCTGCCTTAGACATTTAACACAATTCTAAGAGTAGTTCTAAGATGTGTGTTACTTCATTGGATTCAGTAGTTCAGTTTTGTTGTCTCCTTTATGTAGGTGACAATTCAGCATTGAAGTTCAAAAAGTTTGCCAATGGTGACTTTAGCCATGCCTGAACTTTTATATTGCGTTCAAATTCTGATGTACAGCAATCATGTTTGATTCATGACAGCTGACATTCCGAATGATGCCCCTGTCGTTTAGTTGTCAAAGTTTGATATTTTTATAATTATTACTCTGAGATAATTGGCACGAAGTTGTTGTATACTGTGTGGCGTGCATATTCACAAATGAATGATTTCAGATAACTTGTGCATGTACATTTTTTTTTTCTTAAAGAAGAAGTGAAATTCTAGTATTGGTGAGCAGAGATGCTGAATTATCCTTCTGTCCTTGAAATGTGAAACTGAAGAAACAAGGTTTCTGCATTTTCATAGGTAATTCAGGTCTAATTTGAGACATCTGATTTTTGTCTTTTCAGGAAATCCTTATTCCATTTTTGTGTTGTAAAATAGAAACTGAATGTCCTCAGCGTGAAACTGCTATAGAATTATCTGATCCCTTGTGGAAATACCTTCTACTCAGTTGCTTTCTCTTTCTCTTTGGTGGTTGTTTGTTTGTTTTTGTTTTTGTTTTGGATAGCGAAAGCTGGATTTGAGGTCGGTCTTGTAATTTACTTAGTGCCTTGTAGATTACATATCCTGCATTTTTTAAATTAACTGAATACATTATTTTTTTCCTTCCTGGCTTGTTGCACTCTTTTGCAAACTAATCTGACATTATAAAATTGATTTTTACTAATGGCATTTGCCTGTCATTGCCAGGGTTGATTTTCAGGCCTTAGCAATTTTCTAAAGCCCTTTCAGGAATATTTGAACTACATCATAACAGTAACTTCAGTATGACCGTATGTATTTTTTAATTTGAGTTTAGCTTGTAGGAATAGCTGTAATGTCTGCTGCTATGCTGAACAAGGAACTGTTAATGACATTAATTCAAATCTTCTCTTAACATAGGGATGTTTGTATCCATTTTATCTAGACCAGCAGTCCTCAAACTTTTTGGTTGCACGGACCAGCAGTGGCAGGGGGGAGATGAAGGGTTTCCATGCTCAACCTTATTCCATGCATGTGTAAATGAAGCTTCACACTCTCACCCACTGCTTGCATGGACCAGTTCCCACCAGGCTGCAGACCCAGGGATTGAGGACCCTTGATCTAAACCAGGGTCCCCAACCCCTGGTCCAAGGACCGGTATCGGGTCACAGCATGCCAGCAACAAACAAGCAAGCAAGCCCCATCCGCAGGATGCAGGCAGCAGATACAACCACGCCCCCTCTAGTCCACAGGAAAAGCTCTCTCCATGTAAGCAGTCCCTGGTGCCCAAAAGGTTGGGGACCTCCGATCTAGGCAATTTTTTACTGTGTTGAACAGCGGTAAACAGTTCTGTGAAATTTCCTAAACATTAGGATGCTGCTCAAAAGTATGATTCCATTATTATTAACATCCCTTTGCCTATTGTTATCATTTAGCTGTGTTTTATAGTTTTTAATAATTATAATAATTGTTGATATTTTGTGTCAGGCACAAAGAATCAGGACTATAATTTAAGTTGCAGTTCAGAAGATTTATTGCTAAAGCCTATAACACAATGTAGTCAACTATAGTTCAGGATTAAATTGGCGCCAAATAAGGGTCAACAGAATTCAAGAGGGGTTGGACTTAGGCCATTTGTGTGAATCAACAACTCTAAAATTGATGATGCACTTAACTCTTTCCCTAACTCTGCCTTCTTGTCTCCTATAATTTGCTAACTTTTGTTTCTTTAACTTCATTGCAGACAACGCAAATTCATTTGTTTTGTACGATGGGCAGCTATATAATGAAATGAAATTCAATGGTGAATTTCCAATGTGAAATCAGTGAAATTCAGTGATGAAAAAAGTAAGGTTCTACATTTAGGCAAGAAAAAACAAATGTATAGGTATAGTATAGGGGGTACCTTGCTCAATAGTAGTAACTGTGAGAGGGACCTCGGAGTCCTAGTGGACAATCACTTAAATGTGAGCCAGCAGTGTGCTGCAGCTGCCAAAAAGGCCAACACAGTGCTAGGCTGCATTAACAGAGGGATAGAATCAAGATCACGTGAAGTATTAATACCACTCTTCAATGCCTTGGTAAGGCCACACTTGGAATACTGCATCCAGTTTTGGTCACCACGATGTAAAAAAGATGTTGAGACTCTAGAAAGAGTACAGAGAAGAGCAACAAAGATGATTAGGGGACTGGAGGCTAAAACATATAAGGAAAGGCTGCTGGAATTGGGTATGTCTAGTTTAATGAAGAGAAGGACGAGAGGGGACATGATAGCAGTGCTCTAATATCTTAGGGGCTGCCACAAAGAAGAGAGAGTCAAGCTATTTTCCAAGGTGCCTGAAGGCAGGACAAGAAGCAACGGATGGAAACTAATCAAGGAGAGAAGCAACCTAGAACTAAGGAGAAACTTCCTGACAAGTTAGAACAATTAACCAGTGGAACAACCTGCCTCCAGAAGCGGTGAATGCTCCAACACTGGAAGTTTTTAAGAAGAGACTGGACAGCCATTTGTCTGAAATGGTATAGGGTTTCCTGCCTGAGCAGGGGGTTGGACTAGATGACCTCCAAGGTCCCTTCCAACTTTATTATTATTATTATTATTATTATTATTATTATTATTATTATTATTATTATTATTATTATTATTATTATTAAAATAACATGATTAAGATATTGCTTTGATCTATAGCAGCATTACTTACTACAGTTGCAATATACATTGATCTTTGGTCTATGACTTCAAAATTACCAAACCCTCTGAAATTTAGTAGCTATGTGATGTCACAATTTTAAATAGTAGACATAATAGCCTCTGAGCTTTCATTATTACATATTACTTGATCACAACTATAACTTTTAGTATAACTCTATAGGAATAGATTCCATTTTGTATAATACCCAT